TGACTGGTCCAGGCCTCAGATGTTCCGATGAAAGGAGAATGACGCCCTTTGAATGGGTGAACCTATAAGAACAACATGCACATGCAGTTAGTTAGTTTTTTTTTGATGGGTGCAGGAGCAACAAAATATCAGAAGATCTGCACACTTAAAGGTTCCCGCTAGGATTTTTATTGCTGTAGTGACATTTCGAGCACAAAGCTTCTCCTTAGTTAAGATCAAATATCTCTGATAAATACAGATTAGCCACAATCCAATGGTTGATCCACGTTAACCAACACATGATCACAACAATGATCAGCAATGGAAAATACATATCATAGTATATATTTTAATAAATAAGCACAAAATAGAGTGAACAGGGGTGAGCTAACCTAGGTCAGGAAAAATCAATAAATAAAAATCATATATGCATAAAGACTGGATATACCACAGAATACAATGGGACGTACAGAGAAGCATGATGGAGGAAGATACATCATTTTTTTATCCATCCATCCATTATCTATACCGATTAGTCTTGAGGGTCGCAGGCCTAACTAACATTTGGCAAGAGGCTGGGTACACTCTGGACTAATCTCCAGCGTATCACAGGGCCAACATATAGAGACAACCATTCCCACAGCTACCGGCAATTCAGAGTCTCTGATTAACCCAACACCAAACTGCATGTCTTTGTGGGAGGAAGCCAGAGAAACCAGAGAAACAGACACAGGGAGAACATGCAAACTTCATACCTGGCCAAACTGGGATTCAAACCAGGAAAACTTTTTCTGTGAGGCGACAGATACATCACAGAAATTGTAATCAAAGTTTACAAGAAAGAACCTATGTATCACTTTAAGCCTCTGATCTGGAATCCATTTTTTTTAAAACATTGGGAGATCTGACATTTTCACTAATTTCCAAGGGGATAATTAAAAACAAGAAACTGATATATTAAGGAGACTGATATCTATGTGTGTGTAATTTGGTGCAGCTTGATTGATTCTGAGGGAACTGTTGGGCCTTGGTGGAGGTATGTGCTCTACTGAGTGCAGCTCGAGCTGGGAAATGTTAACAATATGTATAGCGAATGCAGATTTCCACATTTGTTCCATCATAAGTTAAGAATGAACATCAAATGAATTCGAGTGAGCCTAACACCTCTTCCTCCTTCTTACAAATGAAGAGGAAAATATCAAATAAATCATGTTCTCTCAAAAGATTCAAGACCAAAACATGAATTCTGTTCAATTCTTTATTGTGTCATTCTTTTACCAAAGACTGTAAAATGGGGCATTTTTATGTTTAATATCTTTCAGGAATAAGTGTTCTCTGCTTTGATTTTCTCTCTCCAAGTTGCTCTTTCATGGTGTTTTGCGGTAATGGTACTAGTGCACTTTACTTCTCCTCATAATTCATAAAGGCAGCCTTTATAGAGACTAAACTCGGCCAACGACGGGCTCACACACCACAGGCAGCCATTGATGCAATGGCAAGTCAGATGGGACAATTGACCTAAAAAAATAATAGACACTGTATAAATAATCCAAGGTGCTCCACCTTATTCTGGTTGGCAATAATGCTTAGATATTAATATTTCAGGTATAAAATGGGGGCCTCCATATCTTGTTCACATTTTTGCATGTTGTAGGCTGGGTCTTAAAAATGCAGCTTCTCCTCTTTTTCGCCTGTAGAGTACATAGAGGACATCAAACTGGAATTGCTGAGAATTTAAAGTATATTATAGTTTCAGATTGAATAACATATATTTCTGTGCAATTAAGCAGTTAATGAAAGACTTAAAACTTTAAGCTTATGCAAATAGACTAACTCACCGTCCACCCTCAGGATCCTCGATACACTCATTTCAGTGTCCTCCACTTGACAGCTGCCGTGTTTCAGAGCCACGCACCCCAGATCAGGTGATGATCATGTGTCTCAGACAGGGTCTGCGGTATCTGCTGCTCAATCTGGCATACACGCACACACACACACATACACACACACACACACACACACACACACAAACACACACGTACACACACACACACAAAAGGAAGATACTGGTGTGAGCCTACTCTCAACAGCATACAAAATTGGATTTCACGGTTTGGTGGGATGTGAACAATTTGTCTTTTAGCTGGAGTCGAGTTGGTCAGGAGGGTTCAGTATGACGCCTCACATCAAAGATTGTGTTTATTCACAGACAACATTGAAACCCACCCCTCCATCACCACCAGCAGCACCCACCCTCCCCTTGTTCCAAAGACATCTGGTCCTGTGCGTGTTTTACTCATTAGGGGCGGCGATGCTTGCTTGAACTGTGAAACCGTGGAGTATTTTGTTGTCTGAAAGCCTTCCAGATTGTGAAACACTGAGTTAACAAATGATCTCAGTCAACGCTGGAGTGGAAAGGCGACACTGATGTTGGCAAGACAGTGGCGGTCACACGGTCATGTGTGTGTGTCTAAGGTGATTGGTTAAAACACAGGTCTCCTAAACCATCAGTTGCTACATGTTGTTTCTCTCTGAAGCCTCAATTTAGGAATAAAAAGAGCCACTGATTAATCCATGAGACGGATGCAAGACCACATATTTATGCCAAAACCTTCTAAGACTGACGTAAAATAAGGCAAATACATTTTTGAGCATTCAGTGGGGGCACTGTCCCCAGTAGAAATTTGGCCCCTGATGTACCCCATTCCCGTCAGTAGTCTTTCAAAAAAGAATATAGTAATTTTTCAAAGTATATATAATAATATGGGGCTTTGCTCAAAGCTATAGAGCTAACAATAAGGACTGACTTAGATGTGCACCTTGCTGATTCAGGAATTGTGCATATAAATGACCCCTCTGTGTAAATTGTGGCCCCTTTACAGATCCCTGGTTTAGAAAAATCTTAGCTCCAGCACTGAATATATTAAACCAATTGTATAACTTAGAATGTGGGCGAACATTGGTTTCGAGAGTCAGTGTTTGAGATTTTCTTTCTGCATTAAAACATCTGTTTACATGACTGCAGATGGAAGCTCATTTCACATTTGGGCAGCAACATGATAACAGATTGAAGCGAGCATCATTACAATGAGTCTCACACCAGCTTTATAATATCCTCCCACTTAATGAGCTTCAGTGACTCATGAGAATCTCTCTGACGGAGCTCCTCCTCCGCTCCTCTTCTCAGTCTGGAGGCACACACTTGCCTCAGTGTGTGTTTTCTGTAAATGTGTTAAATACAAAAGCCAAAGCGCTCTCTCGTCGCTACAAAAAGATTTTCACACCTTTGTTTTTTTAACCTTTGCTCCATCCTCGTGGTGCTCAGTCTCCAGCCTAAGGGGCAGCAACAGCTATTGCAACATGGCTTATGTGTTTGTTGTACGATGACACAGCTGTATCCTGGTACATGTCAAACTCAGAGTTCTTCCCCTCACTCAGACTTTATTCCCCTGGATGCCATAATGCTCATGTTCATTCTGCTTATGTTTCTTACTCGTATAACACAAGGATCTCTACAGTGTTAGTAAGGTATCATCATGAGTCATCTCGAGTCAGTTCATAAAGTTTGGTGAAGTGAAAGTAGCAGAGACACAAAAACAGGCCAATACTTATTGTTCGACATAATGTTCTTCCTGTGCTTCTTCATTCAGGTTTAGCATAACGCATATAGAGCCTTTGCATGTGTCAGCATGGCTTTGAGGAGTTTAACTTTGGTGAACTTCATCCTGCGATATTATATATGACTGTAGATATGTGTGTGTGTGTGTGTATATATATATATATA